GGGGGGGTAGGGGTAGGCATGGCGATCACGTCCCCTTCCCGCGGCCCGCGGTCGCACCCGCAGCCCGCAGCCCCGCGCCGCCGGTGTGGGGAATGGAGAACCCGTCATGTGTTCAGAGCGTCGGCGGTGTGGGTGCTGGGCTGGGAGCGAGGCAGCGGCGGCAACCATACAGTCTCCCTCCCTGGATCCTAAAATACGCCCGTTAGGGCATATTCCTGGGAGGTCCCGAGCGGGCAGGCGTGGGCGGGGGCCGACGCGGGTCGGTGGGGATGGAGCAAGGGGGCAGGGGATGTCCATGTCCATGCTATTAATACATAAACGTCGAGGAGACGCGAAGGAATGGGGGATCAATACGTGCCGTGACAACACCCTACCCGCCCGCCGCCGCACCAAGGGTGCTGCTACACAAGTGGTACCAGAGCAGCACTCCGGAAAAGGATGGGGGGAGGGGGGGTGGAGGCACAGGTTTTTGCGCGTATTTTCACCTTTGGCAGAACGGATGAGCGGTTGGCAAATATAGCCGCAGCAGAATAGCGGCGCACGGTTGAAATGTGCCGTCATTGTCAAAAGCGCCCTCCTGCCGCGTCGGTCGGTCAGGCTCGGACATAAACGCCCACCTCGCATCTCGCCTCGAGCGATGAGCGAGCGCGCACGAGCGCGGCGGTGGCGGGCGGCTGAGCCGCGGCGGCTAAGTGGACAGGGAAAATAAACAGCGGGTGAAAGGGGGAAGGGCTCGGGGGAGAGTGCGGGAGGGGGATGGGCTGTCATGTGGGGACCACGGGCCAGCGCTATGGCCGGCTATTTTAGGAAATCTCTGGCGTGGGAGGGAGGGAGCGCTGCTGGACTGTGCGGGCCGTGGGAGGTGAGGTAATGGAGGTGAGGGGGGAAGACGACGACGAAAGTCTGAGTACGCGGCTGCTAATTCCGTTATTGCAGGTGTTGATCCATCATGGTCACTATGAACGCAGACAAAGCGGGTGGGCGACGTCGGATGGATGACAGTAGCCAGGCCGGGGCCGGGCAGTCCGCCTCCCAGGGCGGCGGCGGCGGCGGCAGCGGCAGCCTCCGGCCGCCCAGCGTGCGCGTGGCCATGGGCTTCGGCGTCGGCGTGCCCTCGGTGGCGGAGGCGGCGCTGGCGGCGGCAGAGGCGGCCACCCCCGCCGCCGGACACCGCCCGGCCACCCTGGCGCAGACCAACAAGGAGGACAACCCCAACTCGGCCGTCTACAAGAAGGTGCGAGCGAGCTCACGTCAGTGCCGTATTCCCATTACGTTACGTGGAAAGAGAGAGATGGAGAGGGTTTGTTGATGCTGCAGATGGAGGCCATCATCGAGCGGATGCAGGACGAGAACACGGGCGTGCCCGTCAAGACCGTCAAGAGCTTCATGGCCAAAATACCCTCCGTGTTCACCGGTCAGTCTCTATCGTAGCTCGAAGGCTGTATCTCAACCTTTAGCTGCACTGGTTTATAAAATATTTGACGTAAATTTTCTATGTGACAACAGGTGCCGACCTCATACAGTGGATGATGAAGAACCTCGACATTGACGAGCTGAGTGAGTACCCGAGCCTGAGCACCCCTGCACCGTCGCTCCCCCGGCGGTAACGCGCGCTCACTTCTCTCCCTCTCTCCTTCTATCTCCGCAGATGAGGCCACGCACCTGGCCTGCCTCATGTCGTCGCACGGCTACCTCTTCCCCATCGACGACCACGTGCTCACGGTGCGCAACGACAACACCTTCTACCGCTTCCAGACGCCCTACTTCTGGCCGTCCAACATGTGGGAGCCGGAGAACACGGACTACGCCGTCTACCTCTGCAAGCGCACCATGCAGAACAAGACGAGGCTCGAGCTGGCCGACTACGAGGCGGAGAACCTCGCCCGGCTGCAGAAGATGTTCTCGCGCAAGTGGGAGTTCATCTTCATGCAGGCCGAGGCGCAGAGCAAGGTGGACAAGCGCAGAGACAAGCTGGAGCGGAAGGTGCTCGATAGTCAGGAGCGTGCCTTCTGGGACGTGCACCGACCAGTGGTAAGTAAAAGTTTAAAACGGCAGAGGATAGCTCTCGATAGACATACCGTAGTTATACCGTACCTGGGTGCGGGCGGGTTTGCCTGCCCTCGCTGCGCACGGCTCCTTATAGCTACACCCCGTGCGAGTAGGCAACCCGCTCGCACGTGTGCATGCGGTACGGTATAACTGCGAAAGTGCGCGGAGGTCGGAGTCAGCCACCTGGTATACAAACACTCAGGAAAAATACGACGCTCTCTCTTCCCCACTCTCTTCAGCCGGGCTGCGTCAACACCACGGAGATCAACATAAAGAAGATCTGCTCCAACAGCACCAAGCTCATGACGCTGCCCGCCGCCACGCCCGCGCAGCTCATCGCGAGGCAGATCCAGATGCTCAAGCAGCGGCTAGACCGGCGGAACATCAAGCTGTCAAAAGTTGCCGAATCGTAAGTATGCCGCGGGGGCGAAAGAAGAGGGG